AAACATTTATTTCAACTATTTTACATTATACATAGTTTTAATTGATTTACATAATAATATATACTTTTAACACTAGACTTAACATTTTATTTGAATAACGTATGGTTTTAGAAAAAAAAAAAAAAATTAATATAATCGTGAATAGTTTCCGTTTATGAAAACTTATATATCGTCTATACGCTTACAAGTCGAGTGTAGAATGTCTTATTTTTAAAGTAATTGTTAGTAGATTTATTATGATTAATAGAAATTGTAGGTATATACATTTTAAATTAAGACTATATTAAGTTAATTACTAACAAATTAATTAATATTCATTTTTTAGAGGCAATTATTTATTATAAACATATATGTATCATGATTAATTAAAGGATATATTTCTAACATTTTTTTGTATTCAAATCGATATCGAGGATGGGTAAAAGAACATTTATAACACATACCTATAACCTCAACACTTATTAGGGAATAAGAGTGAATCTGCTATCCCTTTAGCCACCTGAATATCTAACAGTCTTCGAGTATCACGAATAAAATAATAACCTATTAATATCGATGAGGTTGGGTCTAACACTAAATTTATTTCCTTATTAATCTCATCGCGATACATATTTAACCATGGCATATCAGGAGCGGTACGAGCACACGTGCTCATTCTCATATAAACATTTCGATTCTTTGACATACCACTCCTGATATAATTTAAAGGGAAATTACTATAATCATAAAGCTCCCTCTGCTTCGTCACTAAATAATTAACCATCCAACGATTATACATCTTTAGATTGAATATTGTAGATGAGTTAATTTTCAGACTTGCTAACGATAAATCCTTGATTTTCCCTAACTTTAACACTTTTGGAGAGGGGTCATCCATCATTTGTTCTAAGGATATAAGTAGTTAGTTAATCATGAAATAAAAAATAAAAAGTATTACATACCAACTGAAACCATGTTGAGCTGAGAGCGAGTGTACCACCCCATCCCGTAACACTATAAGAAACCTTAAGGTACATATCACATTGACTGTGTTACGGGATGGGTGGTACACTCGCTCTCAGCTCAACATGGTTTCAGTTTAATATTAATATATATGTTTTACTAACTGTATACTATATATAAATATATTATTTAATCAAACAATACAATAAAAAATATGTATTTGCATTATTTTTACTATTCATATAATTACATTGGAAAAATAATATCTGTACATGCATTCCAACCTGGTGTAAACGTATACGTCACATCCTACATCATGATATTTCATAAATGATCAATATGTTCTGTATGATATAGTACTTAAAATGTATATGTCAACTATATTAGATCACTTAACACATTACTATGATTGTAAAATATTATGTATAGTACCTATATTAGTATTTGATAGGTATAACCCACTTAGCTACTTAACGTGTCGCGATTGTGTTAGTTATACGTGTAAACGTATCACGGAATAGGAAAGAATTAGCAAGTAGGTAAGTGATATGTTGTAGTATGTACCTATATATGTGAGGGGGTAGTCACATACTACCCAATCCAATACTTATTATGGTTATTCTAACACAGTCAAGTTTGACGGATCGGATCGGTATATGAAGACATAACTCTGTTCGAGGTAAGTTAAGACGGTATCAGATATATAGCTAATGATAAGACTTTGATGATTTCATTACTTCAATATAATAATACCATTGTGAAGTGATTACTAAAATTAATGAGTAGGTGGTGGTGATTACTCTATTACCTAGGTATCGACTTAAATGTGTATAAATATATATATATTTATCATAATTTATTTATACTATTTATATTATATTGTATAGAGGGTTTGTGTATAACGTTAAGGTTGTAAGATAAAACACATTCTCAAATCATAAAGTTTTTTAAAGTTACTAAATTGTATAACCTCATAATATTCATTTTTATTTACAGGTTGAATTTCACAAATCAATTGAAGTTGTTAACATATTATCAAATAAATTATGTAAAGAGTTAAATGGTGATGTTATTCTTGTACCAGATGAACAAGTTGATGAATCAGGTGCACTAATGTCAATTCAAATAATAAGAACATATCTCACACCTGATGGAAAGGATAATACGAATTCTAAAGAACTTAATAGTGAAATATCTAAAATTGAAGATCGACTAAATTTAAATTTTTAAGCTAGAAAAAAATTTCGTAAGCTATTATTTCCTTCTGATAATTATACAAATAACATTGAAGTCAGTCATTTTCCAACTCAAACCAAAGATTGTAACGGAGCAATAGAACGAAACAATTTGACAGATGAAACCACACCAAGTAAAGGAAAATAGCAATACAACGGTGTGATGTTCATCTGTCAAAACAGAATTCACAGACCAATCAGCGATGGACTAGGTTGTCGAAAAGGGTATAAATACCGGACATTTTCGACAATCTATTCAGTCTACTTCAAACCTTCAAACTATCATCATCTCCAAGAAACGTTCCGATAGAAAGAAGACCAGGACCAGAAACCCACCGCTGACTACCGACGATAATACCGCTCCACGGTTGCAAGCATTGTCCAGCCGCCGAAGACCGACGACAACGCCGCTCCACGGCCGTAAGCGTCGTTCGATCGACAACGCCGGCACCGTCAGTACCAACCAATCACGTAGCTGCCGCTCAACGGTTTAAGACCCGTGTCAATAGATATTCTTGCACTGACGACGCCGACCAATCGCCAACCGCCATTCATCCATCCAGGCTTGCGGGATCACCGGATAGACCGACAACTCCCAGCGTTACAACATTAAATGGCCCTTTTCAGGGCCAACACACCACTGACAGTTAAGTTGTCCGACCCGAGTTTGGTTCGTCGTCGGAGTGCCGCTTAACTTAAGTCTGCACCGACGACGGCCGGCTCCCCAGCTGATTATTCACATTGTAAATATATATTATAAACCATAATCTATTGTAAAGATAGGGTCCGGCGATTGCCCGACCAATACCCAAGCGCCTCCGATTGTGTCGACTCACTTACTTAAGTCTGGTCGGCACAAATCGACGCTTTACTCGCCCCAATATTGTAAATATAAACCATAATTTTACATAGCAATAGAGAGACTTGATTACTGAACAAACAATCGTTATTTTTATTTAGGACGCGGGTCGTCCAATCGGACGCACCGTTTCAAGATAGGTAGTGATTCTAGAATAATGGCCTTAAATTCTACGGTTATCCAGACACCTAAAGTCTCTTTAGAAGATGATGAAAAAGTGTTACAGTCAATCGCCTTTACAGGGATGATGAAAAGGTAAAATTAAAAATTAAATAAATTTATTTAAATAATAATAACAATAATTATTATAACATTTTTTGTTGAAATAGTGGAGAGAAAATTTTAAAGGCATCTATACAAAAATTGGGAACATTTTTTTTTCACACTAAAGTGAAACCTACAACCACTTATTTAATTACCAAATCACAATCTAATCAATCATTAGATATTGTATTATATATATCATAGTTATATGTGCATATGAATAGAAAATGTTAGTTATATAAACTATCTAAGACCTAAGACTCTATATTGACTCGAGTTTAAAATGGAAAAATCACATAGAATATTTAGTATCATTAAGCCGTACATTATTTTATATTTTCGTAATCTTAGATCTATACTTGATAAAATACAATTAAGGATAATGTATATCTCACTAGATCTAATCAAAATAATAAAGATCTGCCATTTTATAGATAAGATTCATAATACTTGAAATTTAAAATCTTAATTTATTGTCCATCACAAATCAGTTAAAAGTTAGTTTGAAAAAAAATGGCTATAGATATTTAACATTAATTAATTAATAATTAACAATTATTTGGTGTTTGAATCATTCTTTGTTTTCAATATTTTTTACATTGTCACTCACAGTTTTACATAATGTTTTAATTTTGAAATCTGCTTTCGAAAATGTCCTTATGAAAAGGATATAAAAATAGCTGAAGCTATTGGTTAATCGGGCAGATCAGGTACATAGATACAAGTACCTATAGTATACATTAAATCGAATTTTCACACATTGGCTACCAAGGTGGCCGAGTTGCACTTACTGCAGTGAGTTACACCAAAAAGGAGTTGAACAATCACAATTTTTTTAAGGATTGTCATTTTTTACGGGCCACGAAGTTGCGCAGGACCAGCTAGTTGTCTTATATATGGACTGATTTTGTAATTTATTTTTTTTTTTTTAAAGTAATAAACGTAACTTGTTAAAAATATTTCGGGTAACGAAAATATAATTTAAATACATATATTCAATGTGACGAGTAGGTAACGTAATTTTATTATTTTTATTACTTTCCTTGCTCAACTACTCAAATGTTTAGTTGGACCTCTGAAAGAGAACTTCCCGTCATCCAGTGAATGAATTTAATGAATTTCAATATGATCACAGTGGTTGATTATATTGTATAAGTTACTAATATAGTAATATCTTATAAAAATGTTAACTTAAAATGATTAGTAATTTTACATTATATACTCCATTGATAGCGTGAGTAACATAGGCTTAGTGACTTAGGGGCTAAGCTCCCTTAAACAAATCAATAACCCCCTACAAAGTCCAAACATTTCCTACACCATTATACCCTACACTAGGGTAACCATATTTAAAAAAATAAAATACAGGACAAAAAAATTCTAATATTGTTATATTTTAATAATTTAATATATAATATTTTTAAATTAATAATTATTTATTTTATTTTTTGTTGTCCAATAAGATAACGCTTGTGAACGACATAGATATATTATTAGGCTATTATTAATATTTATTTATTTCGCAATATGCTCACATTTGATTACGAACTGGTAAATATCGGTCGGTAAATGTTATACTATTACACGTCCGGTTTACGTCGCCGACAACAATGTGATGCTACAATAATAATGGTAAAAACAAAAATACAAAAATATAATTGAAAAGTAAAGGTTCTTATATTGTTCTATTCAATAATGTAAGTTTAAAAATTTCAAAAATTATATACATTAACGATAAGGCATAAAACGGGATTAATATGGGACAGACTTAAAATTACGGGACATAAAGCATCCTGAGAGAAGTTTGTCAGGACAACAGGACACAAAGCCGAAATAAAGGACAATCCTGTGTAAAACAGGACGTATGGTCACCCTACCCTACGCCTATATGGCTATAAAGTCTCAGCGGTTGCTTTTAAATGATTTGGTAGGTATAGTGGCATACTGGCATGACTAAAAAGGTTTCATATTTTGAAAATGAGTGACGGACTAAACAAAAATAAGAGCTCCTAAAGCCGCCCCTCTCTACTTGCGACTTTGGTATGAGACTAATCAAATCAATCGAAAAGATCGGTCCAATAGCTGTTTTTGATCAAAAAAAGTCTATTCGAATGCTGGTTTTCAATCGAGTGTATTCTCAGACAGTGATCGAATATTGTAAATTGTAAATATCATTTACAATTACCGATTCACTTATTACTAAAAACAGTAGTTATTCCATTAAATAAGACATTTTATCGGCTTTATTTTGATATTACAAGTTTTCACTTATTAGTTTATTGCCAGTAGCTAGTTTTAAATTTTAATAGTACCTATTAATAGTGACCTACTACATTCAACATCGAGTACAATAATAATTAGTAATTAAGAATCCTCAAAAAAGTTTAAGGGGAAATCAGTTACATTATTGAGCAAAAACAAGCCTTAGTATTATTTATACAAGAGCTACTAAATTGCATGTTTACTTATAAACATTGTAAGGACTTATGGACACAAATAGGTAGTGCGCCACGTTTAGACATTTTTCGCCCCAGTGCAAAAATACGGTTACTAAAAAAAATTCTCCTCTACAAATTG